TTATAAATTTATATATATATATATATATATATATATATATATATATTTAATCCTAAACATGAAGAAATTTATCGATTTTCTAAGTTTAATTAAAATTTAGCCTTAATTAGTAGAATAAAATAGCGATATAAACACGTATTATTAATTATTTAACTTGAGTTTCAAAATGTCGGTGAGTAAACTAACCAATTAATTTTGGAAATGAAAAATAAAAAGTAAAAAAATGACCAAAAAACGATTTTATGAGCCTTCCTCAAATCTCTAACTAAAAAGTTAATAAAAGGCGACAAGTGATCAAGAAGTGAACATGGGACGGGGACATAAAAAAGGAAGAAGGAAATGTGAGAAAACGATTGATGCAAAATCATAAGGTAAGTGTATTATTTCAAAAGTTTGATGCAAAATCCTAAGGTAAGTGTATTTATTTTCAGCAAGTGAATAGAGTATGGATAGATGATTAAAATTTTTTTTCAATAATCACTACAATAAAATGATCTTTCAACAACATTTAAAAATATAATTTAATCATGTATAAATATTATTAATTTACTTTTGTAATATATTATCAAATATTCTATATGTAATTTATGTTGTTAAAAAAATTTAAGAACATTTTTATATATCAATAACAACATTTTAAAAATATTGTCAAAGCGATATTTTGTAATAATTTAATAATATTTTTAAGTTTTATAAATTTTATAAAATGATAATTAATTTTAAAATTTTAATATAGATCTACCACTGAGACATAAGTGGTGGCCTTGAATACGGTAAGAAAAATGATGGTCCACAACCCCAATCTTGGAGGAGTAATAAGAAAGAAAATACATCATTAAATTATATAAAAAATATTATAGAAAATAAATTAATTATGAATAACTAATTAATTGATAGATGATTTTTCACTTTTCAACAAAACTCTACTCATAAATTTAGAAAAATCAATCAATAATGTTAAATATAAAGAAAATATATATATATTATTGAATTTTTTTTTCATTTTAGCATGAATTTTTATTAACATAAAATTATAAATAAAGTTTGTCTAAAACTTTCCATATTTTTTTCTTTTATATCTAATTTCTTTGACTTTTTTTTATTCTTTGAATCGTGACCTTTCCTATTCATTTGAAATCTCAAAATCAAATTACAAATCTTTACTTCTTAGTCATCACAAAGTACTTCTTTATAACGTGTCATTATTATCGATTCTTTTCTCACACAACATAGTTGTCTTTAAAAATAGTTTTTGGTCTCATATACAAAATGAACTACTACTTTAGTCATTTTTTTTAACTAAATGCTTGTCTAATTGTTTGTTATTTACATATTAGAGTTTTATAATCAAAGTTGTTGGAAATATTCAAATAATTTATGAAAGCATCAAGTTTTTTATTCACTCAAAGCATAAAAAAAAGAAACTTAGGGTTGGCTGTGTGACTCATGTTGAAAACATCCTAAATAAATCACCTCTAAATATAGATCAAATGTAAAAGTCCAATTATCTTAAGTTTCACTATATAATTCTTATATATATATATATATATATACATATATGTATATATATATATATATAATTTTTATATATTATTATTTTTTTATTACTTGATGTAAAACTTTAATTTTAAAAATTATTAAAAAATTGAAATAAAAATGTTACTCTATTTATA